GACCCCAACACCGGCGAGTACTATGGCCAAAGCCACAAAAGGTGCTATTACTAGACCTGGAAGGGAATCGTGGGGCCTCTGAGAGAGACAGCCCAAAAGGGCCCGAAAAAGAGAACGATGACTGCATATTTTGCAAAGCGCCGCTGTTGGCGAACAACTATAAAGACTCGGTGAAAGACCACTGCCACATCACAGGGAAATATTGGGGGGCTGTGCGCAATGCCTGCAACCTGAAGCTCCACCTAAACCCCAAAACACCCATTCCAGTGGTCTTTCACAACTTGCAAGGATACGACGGACATCTCTTGATGCAGGCCATGGCACGGGTGCAGGGGAAATAAGCTGCATCCCGAACAACACAGAGAAATACATCTCCTTTTCACTCGGTAACCTGAAGTTCATAGACAGCTTAAATTTCATGATGAGCAGCTTAGACGCGCTGGTGAAGGGCGGCGAACCAGAAGACATGAAAATAACAGAAAAAACTTGCGAAGACATCAAAAAGAGGAAGCTGCTCCTGAAGAAAGTGATTTATCCTTACGACTATCACTATCTATACGTGAAAACCGACATTGTGCTGCTGGCAGATGTGTTCAAAAACTTCCGAAAAGTCTGCATGGGGAGGTACAGGCTAGATCCAGCACATTATTACAAAGCCCCCGGTCTGAGCTGGGACGCGCTGCTGAAAAAGACCGGCATAGAGCTAGAGCTTTTGACCGACCTGTACATGCACCTGTTCATCGAAAAAGGTATGCAGGGCGGCATCTCAATGGCAAGCAAGCAGTACACGAAGGCCAACAACCTGCGGGCCGCCGACTATGACCCCGCCAAGCCTTCTAAATTCATCACGTACTTGGATGCAAACAATCTGTACAGCTGGGTAATGAGTCTGCCGCTGCCAAGTGGAAGAGAGTGATGCCCATGCAAGAGCAAATCACGAAACTGAAAGAAAACTCGAAGAAAGGGTGGGTCTTGGAGGTGGACTTGGAGTATCTGGAGGAGCTCCACGAAGCCCACAACAGCTATCCTCTTGCACCAGAGAAAAAGGCAATACGGGTGGAGGAGATGTCAGAGTATCAAAAAAGAATGCCGTCCATTGCAAGAACCTGCAGTTTTATCTCAGCCAGGGGATGCATTTGAAAAAGGTCCACCGAGTGATCAAGTTCAACCAGGAGCTGTGGATGGAGCCCTACATCCAGATGAACACAGAGTTTAGGAAAGAAGTAAAGAGCAAATTCGAGACCAACTTCTACAAACTGATGAACAACTTGGTGTTCGACAAAACGATGGAAAACCTGAGAAACCGCATCGACGTGAAGATCATCCGCAGCTGGGATAGCGACAAGATCCGCCACCTGGTGGCCAGCCACTCGTATGCAAGGCACGAAATATTCGCAAACGAGCTGGCGGGCATCCACATGCACAAAACGCGGCTGCTCTTGGACAAGCCGATCTACACCAGCATGACAATCTTAGAGAACAGCAAGATTTTGATGTACGACTTCTCCAACCAGATGAAAGCCTGATACGGGCGAAAGTGCAAGCTGATCTACACAGGCACCAACAGCCTGCTCATGGAAATTGAGACGGACGACGTCTACAGAGACATGGTGGAACACTTCGGCCTGTACGACACAAGCAATTATCCTGAAGACCACCCGCTCTACAGCGGCGTGAACAAAAAGGTCCTGAGCAAGATGACAGACGAGTGCCCGGGAAGGGTAATCAATGAAGTAGTGGCCATATGGCCGAAAATGTTTTCAATCATGGAAGAAAAAGAAAAGAACATCAAGAAAGCAAGGGAGTAAAAAAGAACCTGGTAAAAAAAGAGATCCAGCATGAGCAATACAAAGAAGCACTGTTCTAGAAAAAGCAGTTCTGGCACAGGATAAACATCTTGCGAAGCGAGGGCCACGAGATATATGGCATGCACATGGAAAAGGTCTTGCTGTAGGCGTTCGACACTAAGTGGTGGATAGCAGACGACGGCGTGCGCACACTGGTATACGGGCACAAACACATCATCAGGCACAAACTTGCTCGGGAGGAAGCTGTGTATTTGGAGGCACAACCAACAGTTCTTCGCGAACAAAGCTATGCTTAGGCCCGTCACAAATAATAGACGACAGGTTCGTTCGGTTTAGTTACAGCTCTTTCAAGATGGTATACTTTCAAATTACCAGACTGCGTTTGTGGCTTTTTTAGTGCCCCCTTCAAGTTCCCTGGGCTGATACAAATATCTTACATTGATTTGTTGGGGGAGCTTTTTTTCTTTCAAGCCAGCAGGTCTGGAATACTTTGTAGAGGGTTTGGAGGTGACAGATTTCTCTTTGATTGCGACAGCTGATTTTTTCCCGATAAGACTAGTGACTTCTTTGTTAAGAGCGGCAACAACGTCGGGGAGCCTTTTGACCCATGCAGTTGACTGCAGGCCCGAAGGCAGCAGCATTTCCACGGCATACTGATGCCCAAACAAGCACTTGGCGAGCGTGCGATTGAAACGTCCCACAATAGCTTAGTCTCTGTGAATTTCAGTACACCTGTGACAGATAGCTGTTTTGTGGTTTTCCATTTCTTTGGTCACGCTTCCCATGAACTCGCACCCTGGGTCCACCTGCAGGATCTGCAGCCAAGTCAAAGGGCTGCGCTTGTAAATCGACTGAAAAGCTTTCACCACCTCCGCAGAGTCTTTGGAGGTCAGAGGCTCAGCTTCTTTATAACGGCTGGCGACGTTGACAACGGTCCGCGTGTATTTGTAAAATTTGCAGCCCAGAAAAAGTGCGAAGTTACTTATCCAAAGGAATGCAGCTTGCCAGCTATATGCAAGTGACTACATCATCGCTTAAAAATCAAAACATCTATAATAAAAGACCATGCTGTCGTAGTTGCTAAAAGTAATTGTTTAAGTTCATATCACATCAAAATCCACCTTCAAAGGATTTGCCCCTAAAGATGCCGCTTGGAAAACTGAGTTTTTTGCATACGTTGGTTCTCAAAACTGAAGTGCATATCAACAAAAACAATTACGCAACAATGCTCTTCATGTCAAAACAAGCCAGTCTGCCAAAAATTAGCTTGATCCTGCGAAAAATGAAAATCTGCCCAAAAAGCCACATAGGCCATTTTTGTGCGAAATCCTTCAATTGTTTCATGGTCGATAATGCCTCAGTCATATTTTTTTTTCTGGCCACAGCCCTGAGTAGAGTTCAGGGTGTTGAACCCAGAGATTTTAGTCCATTACAAGTAAAGAGACTCTGAATATGATGCCACAGGGTGACCTGTTCAAGTAAATTTCCCCTCTCCAATTTAAAAATGTACCAGCTGGTGGAAATATGATAATAAGGGAGAACATACCAATTTTTGTCATTGTTCCAATTTTGAAATGAGACAGGTAGTTTTTGGAAAGATCACTGAGGCTGACATTTTAAAAGTACTAAAACTTTGCAATGAAGCCTTGCCAGAGATAGTGGCAGACGAAAATGAAACTGACAATGGTAAATGAAGCTTACAAGTCAGACTCTGATCCCCATCCACAGCATGCTTCAGTTCTAACCAGTCAATGCCTTCCATCCCTGCATGACTGTTGCTTTCTTTTGACAACCTGCAAATAGAAACAATATAAAAACATTTTGACTACCACTGTATTCCATGAGGTTTTGTGTCAAAATAATCAAAGTATTGGCAGCCACTTCAAAGGTAAAAGTGCACTGCATACCACTTACTACGGAGTTTGAGGTCTGTTCTGTAAGTTACCGACCAAGTTTCCCCCCCTTGGTTTATGGCTCAAGCGCAAAGCATGCAGGCCATAAACTGAAGGGGAAAAAATTGAGGATCCATAACTTACAGTATGGACTGAGAAGACAAGGTTGGAAGATATTTATTATAATTATCTCTACTGTGTGTCTGACAGGTTCAGAAATGATTTCTATTCACGTGGAATAGCTTCAAATTCCTGAGGCACGTCGAAAGCAAAACAAGCCAATTTTAAATCGTTGTTTATTTGTTAGCACATTTTAAAACACAATTTAAAGTCATTCCCCAGTATTGCATTGCGCATTCCTACTACGCGTAATTTCACGCGTGATTAGTGCGCGCACATTAAAAAATGGCGGCTTTTTCTTTACAGCTGGACCTCGCCATAGAGGTAAATCATCATTTTCTCGCAGACGAGTATGGTGACCTATCATTTTTTCTGTTGTTTTGGATTGAGTAATAAATTTCTCAGTGTAAACTAAATATGGACCAATTCTCAGTGTAGAACAAAAAGCAATCGTCAGAAACGTCAATTTAGCAAGCAATCGTGACTACAATCATGGTGCTATTATAAGGATTTATATGGATATAAATAAGGTGCTTTTGCTCCTAAACGAACATGAGGAACCCTCATTTTTATTTCAAAATTTAAGTTCCTATAATATAAACAATCAATAAGCAAAGTTTCACAAAAATCTCAGTGCAGGTTCTATTTCAGCGGAATGACCTTAAAGTAAAAAAAAGTTATAAAAGTCTATAAAAGTTAAGAGCACCAGGCAATAAATCACCAAACATTTTAGCAACAGAAATAGCTGTAAATTTTAGCGGGCGATGCATTGGAAAACAGCCTGCTAAATTGACCAAGGACACCATGCATAGTAACTGAGAGATGAAAACAACTCAGGTAACCACCTAAGAGATGACATCCTAGTATTACTCTTTAGGTCCATAAAATCTGCAGTGATGGGAATATTACCTGCTATTCACATCCTGTAGGTAATTAGCCAAGGCTAAATGCCCATTAGCTCTTGCAACATCTTCTGGTAATGTAGCACTATTCCTGTAACTGTTAAATACAACTTTTCCAGCTGAAGTGCTGAAGATCATTTGAATAAATTCTAGACCATCTATTTCTGCTGCTTTGTACACCAGCAACTGTAACTGTTTAACTGACCAAGCACATTTGCTCTGATTTGAGCTTGATGATCCTTGGAAAAGTTGCAGGTAGAAAATTATGTTAGCAACAGGGAATTGCGCAGTGATTTATTAACATAACATTTCTGTAAACAACATTTTGTTTTGAGACATTGGATCAACTGAGAAAAATTATTAAGCTGATTAAATTGAGTTATTCACAAATGACTGACCTTCCTTTTGATCCTTAACAGGCGTCTTTCAGGTTGTAAACTAGCCATAAATCCATGACTCAGTAACATACTATTACCATTTTCTAAATTTATTTTTATTAGTTTTTTGGTCACAAGATACTTAAAAGACAAGAAACTTAATTAAATTAATTAAAGGCACAATAACATACGTAAGATTGGAATAAAAAAAAAACTTACTTGGTCCTGTTTTACCAGAGGAATCTGATGCCTGTCCATCACTTGGTTTGCTACTACTGATCCTATCAAACAACTTCTGCCACATGTTCCTGTCTTTCACTACCTTGCTAAGAAATTCTTCCTCAGTGGGCGGGTCCTCAGTATATAGAAATTCAGTTTCACCATACCAGCATGATTCATCTGAAGACATCAGTGTGACCTTTACTTTACCAGGTCCCTGCAGGGAGGCTGGAATTCAAACAATATTTTTGTCATAATGCCAACCATGCATTACAGTGCAACTACTCCAAATGAGGCCATCTATGCAAATTCTTTTCACATTGATCAATAGCGGTTAAGAATAAGAACAGTAACAACATTCACAAATTTACTGTTTCTGAAATTTACATACAGCTTGCAATTGCTCAGATCAATATTTTATGCCATGGAAATCTGCATAAATTTTCTTCGCATCCCAGGTCTTCATTGTTAAATTTCAAGAACAGAATTTCGTGGGGACTGGCCTTAGTTTTAGTAGTCATAAATTTGTCATAATTTCTTAATCATATGAAACAAGCATATCATAGCCCAAAAAGGAATATAACAAACATGCAACTTAGAATCAACTATGAGGTCCAATATAATTATTTAGTTAATAAAATAGAGGGCAAAATTACTGAATGCTGATTGCTCAATGAAGAGGTTATTTTTTCTTAATTTTGCTTGTGAAGAGGGCAAAATTACTCACTCACGATTGTTCCTCAGGTTGCCTAGCAACAGCTTATGCTATTGAGAAGTTGTTGCTAAAAACTTTCTGTAACAATGGCTTCTGGTTTTGAGATAATTGACGAGGGATATATCGAAGAATTAAAAGACAAGAGTGAAAACAAAAACACGAGGAAAAGCACAGAGTACTGGAAGAAAGTTTTCAAAAAGTGGGCAAATGAAAGAAACTTCCAAGCAAATTTAGAAGAGTACGAGAGCAATGTCCTCGACCAAACACTGTCTTAGTTTTATGCCACGATACGAAAAGAAAACGGGATGACTATGAGCCTAACTGCCTGAAAGTAATGCAGGCACCCCTGGAGAGATATCTAAAATCAAAAGCCTATCCACAGTCCATCATCTGAGATAGGGAGTTTCTTAACTCCAGAAAAGTCCTGGAAGGGAAGGCCAGGAAACTGCAAGAGCAGGGCAGAGGAAAGCAACCAAACTGATCCAGAAGTTTGACAAAAGAAGAGGAAGAAGTCCTCTGGCACAACAGCCAGCTTGGAGGAGGAACTCCACGAGCTCTACTTAACACCATGTGGTGGCTGCTCACTCAGCACTTTGGCCTAGAAGGGCAACAAGAACACCACCAAATGAAAGTTGAAGATTTCACTTAACAACACGACGACGACAGAAATGAATTTCTAACTTTTGCTGAAGGTCCATCTAAGATAAGACAGGGAGGACTTACATGAAAACCAGACTAGTCACCCCGAAAATGTTTGTCACAGGGAATGAGGAAAGGTGTCCCGTAATGTTGTTCAAACGATAACTGGGGAAGGGACCAAGCGAAATGAAGAAGAGCGGTCCCTCTTACCTCAGTCATAGACAAGCCATTTTCAAGCGTTTGGAACAAGAAAACCCCAGTTGGAAAGAACACCATAAACACAATAGCTCAGTTGGTAGAGCATAGCACCGGTATCGCGGAGGTCACGGGTTTGAATCCCGTTGAAGCCCTGATTTTTTTCAGGCTTCTTCTTTCCAATTGCTTAAATTGGAAAATTTACTGTGATGATCATTCTTCAATTTCAATACGTTATCAGTGATAAGAATAGAATCTACCTACTGCTTACAAACAATTCTAATCACAGCCAGGCGTGGCATCACAATATATAATGCAATTAAGCAAAATGTTCACGGAAAGTTTTGTATTTTGTCCCTTGAAAGCAAATACTTAGCAACTTGAACAAATCTTGCCATATAAATGAGCCTAAACAATGCATAAGTACATGGAAAACACTAAAGGCAAATAATACACATTTGCGTACTGCGGGAGTCGTGCAGGTCTGTCACAACTTTTTTATCTATACATGGAACGAGAATTTTGAATTAACTAACCCCTGATATCCGGCCGGAAGATACAGTGTATTCCCGCCACGTCCCGCATAAAGATTTGGCCTGCTGCAGATCACCTGTCAAACGCCTATTGTTATTGCAAGATGATCCCTCTCTGGTAAACATCAACATGGACGTTTAGGCGTTATAATCCTATTGCGGGTAAGATGCTGCAAAAAATATATTGCTCTTTTTTTCTCGGAACGAAAATTTCGGAAAGTTAAGCATACTTTTTTTACTCCACGTCGGCAGCCCCTGCACCAATTTGGCTGAAATTTGGCCAGCTTATTGTCAGATAGTTTTCCTCAAAAACCATGTCTGCGATTTTTGTTTTCTTTTTCCATTTTTAAATAATCGCCATTTTATCAGAGGAAGTGCTGATGATTTGTCTCCTCTGACTTTATCCTATTGTTAAAAAAGAACAAATGCACGTGCCAAAAATCTGAGACACGGTTTTTTAGAAGAACATGTCAAGAAGCAAATGCACTGCTTATCGTTCTCTTCCACTCATTCTTAGCGGGACTGGAGTTGAATTTACACAGACATATGCTCTTGCAGAAAACATCTCAATGACGCTATCTCTTACGATTTTGAGATTTTTAAAGGAATGAGCCATAATCTGGAACTATTAAGCTTTCAGAAAATGTGTGGTTTGTAGGGGTTTACATGAAAAACGAAAGCGCCAGAGCGATCCGCACGTGGACGGTCCTGAAGGGTGGCTGATACCTTAAACACATTCTTTGAACAGTAACAAGATCTCTTAGATCTTATAACCGCGCTTTTAAAATTTAACTGTTTTGTCAATACTACAGTCACAACGCAGTGCACATTTCAAAGCAGTCATTGATGATTCATTAATTACTGTAAACACATCACTTGATCAACACAAACTGTGTTATAACTTATTGCACCATCACTCTTAGCTTTTGTGAAATCTATGATGATGTAATGGTCTTAATCTGGAAGTTCGCTCAGGAAATGCCCATCAATGATACAAAAAGAAACGAATGTCACGCTATTAATAACGCTTTTAATAAACAGCTGTCTTCCTGAAAAGTCAAAATTTAATTTGGTTGTGCTTGCGCAAGTTACACAATCAGAGGGTTTACGCTATCCACGGCTAATTTTAGAACGGTTGTGTTTTTTCTCCTAGCACTGACTTAAACGATTCAAGTTCTGGCAAGCTCTTATTTACCTCGGCAAATATTTAATTTTTCTTCAAATCTCTTAACTCGCTGCAATGAAACAGCCAACGAATTCGCTTCATTTGCTGAAACCCACAAGAAATACTCGCAAAATTGCAAATAAATTAATGACCGTCGCTTCTGGCGAAATAAACTTGCAAAGTAAACACAATCTTATTTGTTACGTAGCAAAAATGAAAGCTGCAACGTCAGCACATTCCATGGCTGACGTAATACCCTTTTTAGCGTTTTTAGTGTATTTATTATTTCCCTTTGAATCCAACGCTTCGATAAAACCAAAAGAAAATATATTTTACACACAATTAATGAAAACAATATCCGTAAATTGTCCTTGTATTAATGTTTCAACAACTTTTGGCGAATAAACATCACAAGTTGCATGATTCAAAATTTGGCCGGGAGGAGGTTTGGGTCTGGTCACCGACAAAAAAAGACAAGAAGATCTGTTAGATCTTATAACCGCGCTTTTAAAATTTAACTGTTTTCTTAGCACTACAGTCGCAACGCAGTGTACATTCCAAAGCAAT